GGAGTGGCTCCCAGTGCTGGGGGCCCTGGCTCAGGGGGAGGGGGTGAGTGCTTTGGGATGGGAGGATGCTGGGAAGGGGCTAGCTCTGGGAGAGAGGTGGGGGCATTGGGGTTACTTATATTTTTTAAAATAAAAGATACTTTATAACAAAAGGAAAAACTTTAAAAAATAATAGTCTGGTTACATTTCAAAATGACAGCTCAGCTCCCAGTCCTCTCAGCTTAGTGATCCCATTGCTAACTCCAAGTGCAAAAAAATCATAGGCAGCCCGCACCCTCTGGCCCCCAAATTCCAAGTTTACATGAGAGGGGTTTTTTTAATTTATACTTTTTGTTTGCTTTTATTTGATTCCAGTGATTGACCTTTTGGGGGCAGGTTTTCCAGCTTTTCTTCCCAACCTGGAGGGCTAGAAACAAACTTGCTTCAGCAAACCCCAAGAATCTCACATAATCCCAGCCCATCAATAGTTGGGCTTTAAGAAAAAATAGTGATTAGAAACGTGGACAAAATCTCTCTCTGCTGGAGGAAGAGATAGAAAAAGGAGTCATTCCCCAGGAAAAAATATCATTAAAATACCAGTTTTCAACAGCAATATCATCAATTTTTCAGAACTGCAAACTGTACAGTCAGTACACCAAAGGAGTCCATCATTGACTAAAGGTTATAACCCAAGTTTTGTTCCATTAACATGCACACAAAACACGTGATACTGACCATTTTTTGTACTGCCAAAATACAATGTTTTATCACAAGCCTGCTTTGCTTCCATGCCCAAAGGTGTCACTTCCATGCACTGACAAGACCTTAGAATCACCACTGCAGACAGTGGGAAGAAGACTCTTGGGGCTAACACCCAGGACTTGGTGAATTCCTGTATTCTATTCCCAGCTGTGCCACTGACTCACCATGTGAGCTTTGGTAAGTCCCCCAGAACCACCAAATTCAGCATACAGCCTCCTCTTCTCATAACTTAAAGGTAAGGGGTTGGTTGTGCCAGGAAACCGGGATGTGCCTGGGATGGTATTGTTTCTCATAAAACCACACAGAAAGCAGAATCGCCAAATCAAATACAGTCTTCAAAACTGACATAACAGTATAGGTGATGATGATTTGTATTACTTTTTGGATTTTTAACAAACTTTTAACATTAGAGGCATTTAGATTTAAGACTTTTACCCACCAAGGTTAATAGACGCAGTCATTACTTGTTTGGGTGTTTTTTATTTTCGTTAGCAGAAACTGGCAGCCAGGGGTCGCCCTAGACTAGCTGACAGCAACTGGCGCCCTAGGCGAACCATGCAATCGGCGCCCCCACCTCCAAACCTTTCAATGATATTGCACCACTATTTGGCGCTCTATTTAACTTGGTGCCCTAAGCGCCTATATGGATAGAACGCCCCTGGTGGCAGCTAAATTTGATCTTGTCTCTAAAAGTTTGTCTTTAAATGAACCCTTAGTCAAGAGGAGTTTTATTATATTAATTTATAGTGACTGAATGCACATAATATGGTTGCAGTTAGCTTAATCACACTTGTGGGTTTCTACACCCATCAAGTCTATGGCAACACACAGACCCAGTATTTGACCCTACAACAACAAAGCAGTATGTACAATACCCAAAAGAAAACCACAAACTAAACAAGCCACTATACAGATGATGGATCTATCTAAATGCCATCCATGGCCTAAAGAAGTGAATTATCACAAATGAAAGCTGGCCAGCAGGCAAGACAAGTCCACAGCCACACCATGCAAGATGAGTTAGTGGCTAAGACCAAGACTACTGATCTGTTATGTTCTGCTGTCCCCAGTGGCTGTGGCTGTCACATCTTTTTGTGCAAGTAGCGGCTGGGTTGGTCTTCTGTTCCTCTTCACCCAGCTCAGCCTCACGGTCACCACAGCAGATTAAAAGCTCCCCACAAATTGGATGCCACAGCACTTCTGACACCAGGGAGGACTCAAACCTCGCTCACACTAACGAGAACTAAGCAGGCATTTTTTTAAATTTTTCATCAAAATCCAGTTTTCTGTGCTAGAAAGGGTCTTGAAATAAAATTCCCAGCTGGGCCGGGTGCAGTTGCCATTAAATGTTGTCTTTCCTTGGTGCCATTGCTGGGCTGATGCTATACAATTGAGTATCACATCACATGGTCCCTGCCCTGACAATCTTGTGGGTTTTACTCTGAACTGGAGTGTTAAACTTCCCAGTATACTTTGTTAAAGGCCCTCCTGGGTGTGTCTGTGCCCAGCCTAGCTGCCCAGTCAGTCTGTCAGAGTTGGATCATTGGTACCCATGAGATCTGGATGCTAAATTGAGCTTCCTGAAATCTCTCAACAGCTCCACCTGGTCCCTGTTACCCAGTTACTGTTGCATGGTTTAGCCACCCCAAATTGATCATCTTCTTCTGATCCTCGGTCAGACACTGGATCATCATTGGTCCCTATTGCACTTTTGCTGAGAGCGAGAGTCCCCACCCCCAGCCTTTGGGTCTGTCTCTACAGTAAATTCAAACCTGAA